GATTCCTAATTCTGGACACACTTTGGCAAAGTGTCGGACAGTTGCAGATTGACTTTCACCACTTTTTTTGTGGTAGTAATTGAGTACCTCAACACGTTGATTGTAAGTCAAAGTCTGTTTGGTGGCTCCAGATTTCCAATTGGTCCTTTTTGACTCGATTGGTTTGGATAGAGAAGAGCGAGCCTTCTTTCGACTTCCGGGATCTGGAGATTTGTTAGGTGATTTTCGTTTACTTTCTTCTTTTTTATCCATCTTGATTTTGGCAATTTTAGAAAGACTTGATTGATAACAGATGATGATGGATTGTACTGCTTTGAACTCGTAAAGACTAAGTTTTAAGGGTTTGAATTCATCAAGAGATAAGAGTATATCTACTATAAGCTGCTCGGTAATCAAATTTCCTCCGTCATCAAGCCAGTCTTGGTCTTCATGAGAAAGAGTTTGGCCATTCTCTTGATCGGATTTAAGTTGATCAACACGTGTTTGAGTTTCTTCTTTAAGCTTTTCAAGCCCTTTCTCGAGTAGGTGTAAATCATGTTCTTCAAACTGTAAATGTGATGGGAATTGAGAGGGCTTGAGGTCAGATGGTGCAAGAAATGCTATATTTCCAATTCGAGTGGCATGAATAGGATCTTCTGTGTTGAATTTGAGTGGTTCAACCCCCAGAGAGGTTGAATTGCTGGCTGACATTGCAAAGAATGTAAACAAAGAAGGTTTGGTTTGAGTTTGCGGAGAAAAAAATCTTCCCAGTGTGGTTTATAACTATGCGTTATGACTTTAGGGATCTAAAAAAAAGTATGCATTATGGTTTTTGACATAATTATGCATTTAAGACCAAAATTTGCCCGCACCAGCTGGGTGGAAGGCAAAATTCATGCATTTTCGCTGGTTATGCATGTGCGCGGGTATGCATGTGCGCGGGTTTGACTGTACCTATATTTTTGAATTTTTCTTATGTTTTTCTTTCTTTTCTTTTTGTAATCCATTTCTTAATGATTGATGTTGATCTTAATGAGTTGTTTGAAATAAGATGACCTAATCACAATGTAATGTGCAATACATAACCCTTAAAGAGCTTCTATTGATCAGATTCCACCTACTCAAGTTTTCCTTTACACTAAAACCTTTCCAATAACTTTGGTAAACTGCTATGACTAAGGTTATTTGATTGATCCCATAAATCTATCACCACAGCATGCCACTGTGTGTTGCCACAGCGCAACAAGTCCAGTTTTTTTTATGATGATAAACAAAATGTTAATGTTGTAAATGATAAAGAAAAAAGGGGAACAACAACACCCAAATCCTCCATTTGACAATATATAACACCAATACAATGATTAATAACTTCAAAAATCAACAAAAGCCGTTAAAAACCCACAAAAACCCTCTGATGTGATCCTATGATGGATTCTTACTACAATGTGTGACATGATTTAAGCTGTGAAAATGATCAATTGATGATATTAAATGATGAACAGATCTTTTCATGATGAATAAAGGTGATTCCTTCCTGATACTCATAGCTGGAAACCATTTTTTAGAATTACATTGTTTTTGTAAAGTTGTCCAATTTTGGATTACTATAGCCCAGTTTATAGCTCTCTTGATGCTGAGAAATAATTGCCACAATATGGCCCACTTCTGATGTGTGATGAATGAGTTATTGAGCTGTAGAGATTGAGAAAATAAACTTTTTTTCATGTATATGCTGCTACATGATGCCTTCATATTTCTCTGTATTTTGTTATTGGGAGTGTTTTTGGTCTGTGGGTCATGCTGAATCCATTTTAAAGGCTTGTTAGTCCAGTACATTAGAAAACCCACAAGAAGTTGTAATAGGTTCACTTTACAGTATACATCCATAGCTAGTTAGTGGAATATGTGAAATCAAAAGCACTTAAGTAACAAAAAAAAGCATAAAAGTCAAAATTCACACCATTTCCTTTGCTTCCTTATAACTTTCATATTAAATCTCTGTTACTATTGATTGAAAGGTTGTACATTATAAAATAAAGTATTCTACATCAAATGAACTATTACTCATCCTGTTATGACAAGTTTTGACATATGTCATAAGCAACAACCTTCAATTTCAACAATTTTTGACCATTTTCACCTCTTTTCTCATCTAATATTGATCTCTTCTACATCATAAGATCATCCTTGATCAATCCACTCATAAGAATAACCATAAAAATCTCTCTCAAATATCTCTTGGCACCCTTAAATCCCTCAATGACATCATTACGTATGATCAAATCCTGTAGTACCCTTGTTTACCATCCATGAATTTACCTCTTTCTTGAATAACTTCACTCCTCCCTTATCAATCCCCATTATTAAAGTTGTTGCTGACCAATGCGGTTCTGCTATTTCATAACTAAAGCTTCTTGAATCTTAAAATCCCTTGGATTCCTAGTCTTAACCAATGAGCAGCTTAGGGTGTGATTCCATGAATAATTTTGGTGCAAGTGGTATAAACCCATAACTCAGAGTCAGAGTATCACTTGTGGGAAATGAGAATTTGGATACACAAATCCTCAATGTGCCACCACTCATTGACCTGGAAAACCTTTACACCATTATCCATTCTCAAATTATGGAATTCAGAGTTTGTATTATCTCAGATTCTTCCCTTGCACCCAGCTGTATTACAGGTGTGTTGTAAGAATCTTCACATCATTTCTTTGGCTGCATTCACCAGAGGGCCTATGATGTTGGGAATTAGAACCGGGAAATGGAGGCACTTTTATGTAAGACACTTGTGGCCAGAGGTACGCGGAGTGGAGCAGCGAAGCGGCCCGCACAAACAAGGTTTCAAATTACTTGAGACCTATACTGAGAGTGGTAGAAACATTCACAACCTAAGTAACAACAAAACCCCTATGGGGTGGCCAGAGGCCCACTAACTCTAGAGTAGACTACTTTATAAGGCTATACACATTTTGATACTCTTTGACAACTGTTGAATAACTCTTCTCTTAACCACAGGTACGTGACGGAAAAAATGAAAAAATAAAACTTGAACAATTGAAACTTATCTGGATTAATTGGTGTTGGAAAACTGAAACTTATAACTAGTCTTTTTTTATATTTTATTGTATATTAACTATATGAAATTAATGGAGATTAGACTGAAAAGAAAATAACATTTGTTATTTGTTATTGTAAAGAGTTAGATTTTTTTTGAAAAGTTTATGTGACTTGTATTGACTTTTTCAAATACGCTCTGTGTCACTTTTTGAGGAGAGATAATGCACCCTGAGAACCTAAAAAACCACCTTGAGACAAGAATTAACAAAACAGAAGACGGTGTGGGAGGGTGGGAAACTGAAAAATAGTATGAATGTCTTGAACTGAGATTGACTATGAAATGGCTTGTGTTGATGTGTTTCTTGCACTTGAGTTAATCTTGTGTCAATATGAATTTGATCTTCTTGGATGGAGGAGGAGACAAATAATAACACACGTGGGAGATTAGACTCTCAAGGGCTAGAATCCATCCTTCCATGACTTTCTAGCTTGTGGTGTTGCAAGGCATCTGAGAATCCAACCATTGGGGAACCTAGTTTAACTTATGGTAATTTCCTAGTTCAGCTGGGGATTGATTTACCGGGATAATCATTTCAGACGTTCTTCTATTTTCCAGTACTGATTCCACTTAGTTAATTGGGACACCAACTTTGAGGCAACCAGATTATGAAAGTCATGCTGAATGTCTTTCCCTGCCAAGCATAGTGATGTTTGCTTGCAAGGGAAGCGGCATAACAACAAAAAACTGCATAAGGACACATAATCTGTCAATTATTCATGCCAAAAATCAACAATTATTCATAAGCCCCTCTGCAAGGGTGCGGCTGCGGCTGCGCAGAGAGGGTTTTGTTAAGCTAAACTATAGTCCATGCTCACATATGTCAAGAGTCCCCTCTGAACATTTGCAGCCCAACCCGATGGATATGACCCAAATTGGGATATATCAAATTCCTAGTTTGTTATGTAGTAGTAGAAAGGCTCCCAACTCCGGAAGGTTCACGGTGGGTACAAACACATGTCCTAGAGTATAAGAGTTGCCACACAAGAGGTAGCAAAGCTCCCCTTTTGACCTTGTCCACTGCTATCCTGTCTTGACTCCTTTTATCCCCATACTATTAGTTATAGTCTACAACAGACCCAACTCATGGTAAAACCAATTGGTATCATCCTACCCTCCCTTACTCTGTGGACTTCTAGGTAAATCATCAACACCCAGTTTGGGGTATATCACTAACCCCTCCATTATGCTCTTCCTGTTTACTCAGTAGTTTTGTCTAGGTGTCAGGACTTCCTAATCCCATATTGTGGGAATTTTTTGGACCCCAGCAAGCCACTTCAAATGACTAGTCAGACAAGTCAAATTTCTGCCAAATACTTTAGAAAGACCTCCACTTATAGTAGCTTATAAGTATACACCTAGTCAAACTGTAGTAAGAATTGAATATAAAAATCTATTGTTTGCAAACACATCTGTTATGAAGCTCCAAGAATAAATAAAATTACAATTTGTAATACAAGTTTTCAAAACCAGATTATCACTGAATATTGAGATATATTCAGTGACCTGTATTTGAGTCTGTCAAAGGAGTGCAAGTAATAGACTTTGCTTTGAAACTCTTGTAATCAACCATGACATGGATGTCAGATCTAACCATTGCATTGGGCAATGTACTGCATAGGAGGTATCCAACAGGATGAAGGAAGTATGTTTCAATTGTCCCCGTGAGATAGGCTTGTCCCTCTGTTCCCTACACAGTCTAACAAAACCCTTCACAATATGTACCATCCCCAATCACCATATCCAAAAAAAAACATCAAATCTCATTTCCTCAATTCCTTAATTTCATTCAAATTTCATTCAAAACTGAATCATGCAGAAAAACATTCCCAACCTATTCAAAATCTGTTTATGTAGTAAATTGAAATCATTCATACAAAATGCAAAATAATCATCTTTAATCTTGATATTTCTTAAGAAATTCATTATGAAACTTTTCAAATCTTTTAACATAATCATCAGTTTCAGATGAAAGAAAAGTAGTACGGAAATGCATGGTACCAGGTGATTGACCAAATCCAGATCCAGGTATAACCTAAAATGCAAAGAGGGAAAAAATCAACTCAAAGACCAGGAAGATGACATATAATACAGAAAAAAATCACTTACACAAATTCCAGTTTGGTTAAGAAGTTCAAGACAGTAAAACGCATCCACAGGTTTTCCTTTAGATTTAGCCACTTCTTCCGCTTTTTTAGTTAATTGAAGTTTAGGAAACAAGTAAAGAGCTCCTTGTGCTTGATTACAAGACAAATTAGAAAGTGAATTGAAAGCTTTCAAAAGATGTAAAGATCTTTGAGTTAGAGCTTGGTTGATATCGTTAGTTTCTTTTAACCAAGTTTGATAACTTGCTTGATTTGGTGTAGGGGGTTTAACCAATACATCTACTCCAATTTGACCTGAGAGTGGTGGACAAAGTTGGATTGATGCTAATTTATAAACTTGTTCGGCTACTGAGTTAGGAAAATTCATGATTTCGAAAAACCCTCCTCTACGACCACATTCACCTGATTGACCTTTTGAAATCGAATGAAAGCTAACCAATGGAAGTTCTTGACGTAATTTCTCGTTGGGATGAGTAAGTAATGCATGCTTGAATGAAATGAATGGTCTAGTTTCTTTTTCGAAGAGATTCGTTTGATAAACCTCGTCTGCCATAAGAACCAGATTATGTTGATGACAGAAACTGATGATATGATCCATAGCAGAACGACTTAGGACATTTCCAACTGGATTACCAGGTGAGATGACTACCATAGCTCGAGTTCGAATACCAGATGCACTGGCTGTAGCGAGAACTTTTTCAAGTGATTCTAGATCAGGTTCCCAATCCTTTTCTTCTGATAAATAATATTCTACTGCATGAGCTTTGTTGAGAGCAAGAGCTGCTGTGTATAGTGGATATTGAGGAATTGGGATCATGACTCCATCTTGAGGTGAAGAAATCAAAAGTTGCAGGATGTTGGAGACACCAGCTGAGGCACCAGCAGTGAGATAAATCGATTCTGGGTCAGCTGGAAATCCATCTCGTTCTATCGGTTGTAAGGTTTGTGATGAGGAGAAAGATTTAGAAGATTTAGTCAGATTTCTGGTGATCCAATCAAACCAAAGATCAGGAATGGGCAGACGAACCTTGGAGGAACTCAGCGACATGCTGTCTAATGAGCGGAACACCTTTGGAGTGACTATAAGCTCCAACACTGCCGATAGCACCCAAGAGTAACTGAGCACGTTCGATTACATCGGATGGAAACAACGACTTGGCATCGGGGTTTTTAATCAAATCTGGATATTCAGTTAAGCATGCGACCTGAGTATAAATCAATATCTAGCATAATTCAAGTCCGTATAATGCAAGGTTTATACTTACTTGACGAGTAAAACTGAGTGGTTTTTGACCCAATTGTTGAGGATTCCCAATATTACAACTGATGACATTATTGAAACCAAGTCGATCTTTCGCTTGAGGATCTGATGCTAGCTCATTTCGAAGTCTATAGATAAGGATCCGATTAGAAATCGGCATTAAGTGAAAACAGGCTAATTGACACATACTCTTCGGCTCTTAGTGCAATCTCACCACGGACGGCGTATTGAGCCTCTACGACTGCTGGGTTGATGTTATCGATCGATAAAGGTTGAGCTATCGGTTATCGAAGATATCCAAATCAGAGGTCAGATCAAGAACATATTAGATAAGCTGAAAGAACATCGAACACTTACTTTGAGTCATAATGGTTGAAGAATGAAAAGTTCTGATGAACAAAGTCGAAATGGTCAGTTACAAAAGTGTTTAACAAATACAGTTGCCACAAATCAATCTTTTTCGGAACTAACAGGAAAACAATCTCTCAATTCAAAAGGGAATTCAAACAAATCAAGAAATACACAATGAAATCATACAAGTTTCAATCCGATCGGAAATATCAAAGATGATTACATAAAACTAGATCATACTATCAACTTGACTTCATTAGAGTGAAGTCTTATAATTTGCCATTTCTTTACAATCTCATTATTGCTCACCTGCTTAACCTAGAACCTATTGCTGGAGATCGATTGGATTGATGATAATGTAAAGTCGTAAAGAAGTTTGAAATCTGAGTAGAACGAGTTGTTAACCTCATCAAGTTCCGATTATGAAAAGATATCATGGTTTTCGTCGTTCGATTGGAAGAAAGATAACTTGAGTTTGAGGTTGAGTTGAGTTGGTTCAGATTGAGATGCTATCACATTTTGACAAGTCATCGACATAAATGCATCGTCAAATACATAATTCAAGAAAACATCATACCAAGTCAAGTCATCAACTGACAACCACTCGATCACAGTATGACAAAACCAAATAGGTTGACCGGTGAATTTTAGAACCTTGTGGTAAGCAACCCTGCAAGTGAAAAGGTTCTCTCTTTGGGTCCAAAAGGCCACCCAGGGCCCTTGAACAATTGTCACTAAGCAATACGCAAACTTCAAAATCCACCAGGAGCACGTGGTCTCATCTTGGTGGAGGGTGATGCAGTAAATTGTTCAAAGATTACATACTCTTGGCGTAATTGAAGAGACATTGTCAAGTTAATCTGGTGGCCACCTCAATCGCCAACTCTTAATTTGATTGGACCTATCTGATCAGAGCTTAAATATGCTGCCTCAGCTGCCAACCCAATCGCCTCCCTTGGGTATTTGATAAGTGAAAGGCTATCCCTAGTGAGATGCTTGAGCATTCAGTATCAACAAAGGCACATTGCATAGCAGCTCTTGAAACCAATGGTATATCCACAAATTGTTGGATCAGGCCCATATCTTTGTGAATCACAAGGTATGTTCAATTCAGCATATCAGCTGATCAGAGGACACTCACTACGATTGTCATCTTTTTGCATCAGCAAAATTCACTGGATTATTAATATATGGTAATGATTGACTTATTGATGAATTGATTAGAAAAAATCGTAGCTTATCGGCCCTCCACTGAACAAATGAATATCCACCCACTCAAAGAGCAACACACCACTGTTTACACCGATCTACTTCACTCTGTCAAGACAGCAAAAAAAAGAAAGCGATTGTGTCAGTCTTACTGGCTTCCTAACTCAATAGGTTTTGTAAGGGTTAATTTTTGTTGAGATGCACGCAGTAGCATGCACAGAACCAAGCGAAATAGGAAAAGAAACCAACCTCATCCAAGCCCATGATCTCACATATTGATGTCTTGATGACCTCTCTGATCAGGGTAACCCAGCTTCCCTCCTCCACATCGCTAGCAAGATTGTAGTGTGTTGGTTCCAGTGAATCTTTTTCCCTTGTTCTTGTCCAGATTCCATCATCACCCCTCCACCAAGCTAGCCCACGCGCGTTAGTTCGTGGACCTGGATGATCAAATATACATTCATCCAGACTGAGCAACACGATGGCAACTGTCAAGACGGCGGTGCGATGATGGAGATACTCCGGATCTGTAAGAAGACGCACATATAGGGTCAGTAAGGTGACTATCATCAAGCTTGATCATGAAAGGAAGTAGAGATGCTAACGACGAAATGCGTGGTCATATGTCAAGCTGAACTCTTCACCAATAATCTCCCAGTCTTCTAAGCAATGATTCGTCAAGCTATCCAGCATCGGTACCGCAATTACGAGCTCAGCGAGAAAGTCGCATGGAGTCGGGAATGTGACCTGATAAGACAACGTCTGCAAGATCGTTGACAGTAATGCCTGTAATGTAGTGACGTAATCAGAGAATGCGCTCAAGACCCATATGAATGCGCATAGAGAGAGAAGACACGAACACGAAGTTCTTGCGAAGATACAGCAACCCATCCAGCACGCAGTACACACTCTGCCCACAGTTTCAACTGGACCACAGTCAATGGTCTCAGGGAATCAACGTCGACTTTACAAGCCAGTGCTAGACAAGCCACGCCAATTTTGTGGGCTATGACTTTGGGTTCTTCGGTTTCGGTTTGTACAGTTGCTAGTGAGCAAAAGCGGCAAAAGAGCATGATGGCTCGGTGTCTGGTAGGAAGATTCAGGTTCGGATATCGCGTGAAGCAATGCTCAAACTGTGGATGCAAAAAGCACGTGATTGGTTCAGTACAACGCGAGGTCAGGAAAATCGCATGTAGACGTACATTAATCAACCATTTGATGACATCTTGCATGATAGCATGAGGGAAGGCAGAAGCTTTGACGTCGTGAATGTGGTCCCCGCAAGGCTCTCTCTCGATCATCTTTAATATTCTCCGTCGAGCCCAGTCTTCCCATTTCACTTCTTCTGATAGGGGGAAATAGGACCCTTCGACTATGGCTGGAGGAGCAGGGAAGGTTACATCGTCGTCGAAGAATTTATCAACCTTGGAGCCGGTCAAGGAGGATGATACATCGTCAGGTGTTGCCGCTCCAGAGGGGTGGGTCTGGTCAGAACTGCTTGTGGCTGTTCTGTCCGAGTCGTCAGTGCAGAAAGATCTCGAAGTTTCAACATCAGATTTATCAGCTTCGAAATCTTCTGGACACCTGTTTTCAAGCCAATAGGAAGTCGTGGTTAGTTTGAATCAGATGAGCTCGGTGAGATTGCATGTCTGAGATACGTACAAATATGCTCGATTCCCAAAGATTGATATAAGGCTCAAATCCGGCTGAGAAGTTGATTCGGATTGAGCCTGAGCCTGAGCCTGAGAAATATCATGTCGGACAGGTCGAGAAAGCTCGGCAGGTGCTGAGTTGCACCTTTCGACGCGATGAGAAGAAGCTGATGGACCGCGCTGACTGTCGGGTAAGGCACCGTAGATGGGAATACTCGTGCACGCGGCGCTCTCCTCGATTACCGAGTACCGAGTCACTTCCTCATCGCTCGAGGTTGTGGCTGTCAGGTTCGGTCGGGGGAAAGCACCGGTGAGGCAAAGGGTGGTGTCACTTAACGGGTCCAAAGAGATATGAAAGATAGGTAAATTAGACTTACAAAAAAATGACGAACAGGAAGAAGAAGAGTCAGAGTTGAGGCTCATGATGTCTGGGTGTTTCTTAAGAGAAGATGAAAAGTTATATTTCTTGATATTCGAAGTTGATCTGCACTCTAAGCAAGAGAGGATATTGAAAGGTTGTGGAAAGGCTGACAAGAGATCTTGATGTTGAAGAGATATTCGAAGGATCAAAAAAGATTTGGGATGAAAGAGGAGAAATCGAGGAAAGGGCAGTTTAAAGTCGCTTTATAGCTAATTTTTCTTCCATGGGTGCCTGACCACAACTTTTGATAGAACTTGATCGGAAAGAGATGGTCAATGCTCTGATCAATAGCATTTTGGACTAGGTCTGGTGTAGAGATATGTAAAAACAAGTGTGACTTGGCAAGATGGCGAGCTGGCTAATCAACTGATGTATGTACATTGGTAGCTTGGACTGCATACACAGGACCATCAAGACCTGATGCGATTTCAAAAGGAAGTAAAAGCGAAAATATCGAGCTGCTGACATGAGCGTGCGGAGCAGTGTGATGATTTGTAATCCATATACATTGGAAAGGGTTCTTTTGGCGTTCAAAAGTCTCATTCACAGCTTGAGTAAGTTGGTCTCTCTTTGTGATGACAAGAGTCAACCGATATGTGGGTTTTTATGCTGAGGTGATCCAACAAACGCAGCCAATCTGAACCTGTCGAGTTATGCAATTTGACGTCTTTTGTTTCCATTGTGAATGGAGTGTCTCAGCCGAATGAGTCTGTGAGTCGTTATTGTAGTTGGAACTTGTTTTAACGAATTGGAATCGGGGTCTGGTCAAGTTGGCTTAGCTGAGACGATCACTTGTTGGGAAAGATTGTTCTCCTCTTCACAAAAGAAGATCTTACTAAGAAGCTCATAATCCTACACAGCATGTCGTCATTGTACTCTTTACCACTTGTATTACTTGAGGTTCTTTATGTACGATCTTCTTTACTCCATTAGTGGGGTAGACTATAGGATCAGGGTTTGGCTCAGGATCGTTCTGAGAAACCTGATAATTTTGAGAAACCCTCACAAACCCATAAATTTCCACAGGACTCTAGGCTCCAAGGTCAATATCTGCCCTCTCTTAAGGTCAGGCGGATCATCTGGCCTACAGACTTGTGGTCACAATCTTTCACCTGTCACGCCTCGCGACACGACCCCCCTCACCCTCAGCAGTCATTGGGTGAATCACCACTTTTTGCACACACGGTTCACCACCCTCAGCCTCGCCGAATGATCAAACCTGGATCAACCATTCTCTCCTGGATAGCACCATCCAACGCTCCCAACAGATCTTGTTACCCATCTCACAACCGCGCATCCTCAACTGAGGACCACCCTATGATCTTCGTTTATTGATTGGTCAAAGTGATCCAGTACGTGACGCTAAGTCAATCGCAATATGAATGTCGGTCAATATGGCACCAGATTGCTGTAATTATAATGCTGTAAAGATAGATGGAGCACATCAAATATAGCTCCGATTTGCTTGTGAGTCTCTTAATTTCATCTTACTTCTTTTTTGATTTCATCAAAATAGAAACCGCTGAAGAGATTTATTATCTTGATGGAAGAAACTGATCAGCATGTTTTCCTTTTTGGTTCTCTTTTTCTAAAAAAGTTAATAGTGTATTGGTCAGAGAATAACGCTCAAGAGACCTATTTGAGCGGAACAAAAATAGATGGTGGGCAATGGCCTTTGCAATGATTTATACTAGAGTGTTCTCCTTTTTAAAAGAATATCATTTGATTATGCCTTTGATCTCCTTTTCTGATCTCAATTATGTGAGCTTTCAGCTTTATACTTGAAAGTGATTGGAAAACTTTCGAAGGATTATAAGATAGAGACTAAGGACAGAATCTTTTCTTGTTCATCACTGGCGCGGTTGGGATGTCAAAGTCTTGACAGACAAATGTTTGGTTTATAAAGATTTAGAACAATACCATCATACCTTTTTTTCTCAGAAGCGAACACTTTTCAAACTTCAAATTGAATTGAAATGGCATTACATAGAACCATATGAGGGGTAAATAATGATTACACTTCATAGAGAGTAAGTACATGTCTCCCAATCTCCCTCATCTCATGTTCAACATCATCAAAACCTTGAGGTCCAGAAGGGGCAAGATCTTCTGCTTATTCGTGATGTTGTTGAATGTCTATCATACCTACGTCTACTGTTCCAAAGAGGTGCTCAAGATCTCCATATATGATCAAGCCAAAACCTTCCTGCGTTTTGAAATGAAGATTCAGCATGCTCCTTAGATCCACATGTTCATTGGTTGTTAATAAACCTAAACGGAAAACCAACTGACAGTGCTTGCTGATGATAATTGATCAGACCATGATAACAGCATTATTGATGAATCCAGATCAAGAGCGACCAAAAACAAAAAGAATAGTGATCGAATCAAAAGATTAATGTTGAGTGGTACTTGAATCCAGAATGTGAATCAATGGTTTGTGAATGTGGCGGGTCAGAGGCAAATGAATACCCGATGGCGACTAGGGTGTTGGATTGAAATCAAATCAGGCGCGTTGGATAGATTAGGGATGGCACTTTTTATCCATAGTCCGAATGCAGTGTGGTTGGTGTTCTTGCGTGAAAATTCTTTCGCGTTGGGTGGTGATCAAACGAGGGAAAAGGGAGGAGTTTTTCTGGGACGGTACAATATATCAGGTCTGTGACATGCACCCGTGCTTGCCTGCCACTAAGGTTTTGGACATTTCTGACTTTTACCTCCCCCTGTAATATGCTTGTGTGTAGGCTTTTACCGGGGTGGCTGTATGCTGTATTTCTCAGGATTTTCTCACTATCAGATTATCACGGATTATCAGGAAAAAAACCCCGATCCTCAAGTGCTCCCCATTAGTGGCTCTCAAACCTGCCCCGGTTTTCAAAAAACCCAGTTGACCCAGTTGTTTTTTGGCAGTAACTTTGTGTATCAAGTTGACATTTGTTGACAGCTCCCAGCCAAAAATTCAACTGGGGCAACCGGGTTTTTTGAAACTGGGTCAGGTTTGAGAGCCACTATTATTCAAATCTATTCATTTAATAATAGTTCATCCATTTTATTAAGGTCCAGGCGCAAATTTCGAACTTTCGAAATTATTTTCCAACCTTAGAGTGGATTTAGCCTTCAGGATCAGCGCACCACTTCACTTAAGCTCGAGGCAGTGCCTTTAAGTTCGAGTGACAGAGCACAGGGTGTCACTCGCCGGCCTCTGTAAAGCCATGTGACGTTGAAATGTCCCTTCCAATGACAGTCCATTCCGATCTCACGAACGCAACCAAGGCTTCCAACCTCACCTCTATCCTATTCCGTTCACTGTTCCAACCTTCACCTCAGCCTGTGACGCCATGCAAACCGACTCCCTACTCTTTCAACCGAACGGGCTCCCTATCCGTCGGTCTCCGGCTTTGGCTAACTCAACTCTGATGTTTGTTTGGTGGTATCTTTACGAGATCGAAGAGTTACGCGAAATCCTGCAGTACTTGACCTATATGGAACGACTCGGCGGCGACCCTCTACCTGACTTAACAAACCGCCGTGTTAATGTCTCGACATGGCACCCTCATATCAGCAAGCTCACGACGAGATTTTATCCTGATGAAATCCGGGCCATTCATCACTGGGGAGGGTTTCCCGATGAGATTGTCTTGCCGAATCGCGCTCGAGAGAACAGAACGACAGCGCTAGCCATATTTATGGCCCGTTTGGCGACACCATCTCGATACTTTGATTTGTCCCAAGTGTTTGGGCGCGACGTGTCAATAATCGGTCGGATTGTTTGGTGGGTCCAAGCTTGGATCTACGAGCACTGGGGTCCTTTGTTGAAATGGAGTGCCCAAAGGTATCCCCCCAAAACGCTGGAACGTTTTGCTGCTACGCTGGTGGCCGAGAAGGATTGTCCAATGGACAATTGTGTAGGTTTTCTAGACGGTCAGTCTGATGGCTTCCTACTCATGTCACACTCGACACCAGGCTGACTCATGCTCCTCGTGCCAGGAACGGTGTGGCGCATTGCGAGACCTAAATATAACCAAAGGCTGTTTTATAATGGACATAAACGTGTTCATAGCCTGAAGTACCAGGCCGTGGTGACCCCCGAGTAAGTGAATCACTCGCAAATATGTGTTGATTGGCTTGGCTAACAATGTGAAAGTTCTTCACATTTCAGCGGGATCACCGCCGATCTTACGGAGGCGTACATAGGCTCTCGACATGACACGGCGATATTAAGGTTGTCAGGACTGAGCGAGGTATTAGAGGAAGATGCTAAAGGCTTTGATGGAAGGCAAATGATGCTCTATGGTGACCAAGGCTATCGCAACTCGGCGGTTATGCTAACCCCATATCCTGGTTTAAATCTCGGCCCAGATCAAGCTAGGTTTAATCGGGTGATGGCAAGTGTTAGAATTGCAGTTGAGCACGAATTTGGTCGTCTTAGGAACATATTCCGCATGACACAATACAAGGGTAAGTAGTTCATCTAATGTGTAGATGACTTCGATGACGATGAAATACTCACTTGGGATTCCTCGCGCGTTTGAGTTAGACAATCTGAGGTTCTACGTTAACGAGCTCAACGCCTTCTATCACTGTGCAGTGATAATCAAAAATTTATTGATATGTTGTGGACGCGGGCCACTGGGTGGCGTGGCTCAACCTCCCTCGCTCGAGGTCTACTTAGGTGGTCGATGAGAGGAGTGGGATTTCCAAGTTGGAGCTGAACGTTGCCGTTGACCACGGTGATTGTGCGAGCTGATACTTGTTTATAAGTGTATTCATGTGAATCATTATTATACTATTACTATTATACTCCACCAACGATTCTGTCAAAAATGTGAAATGATTCCACTTCAAGTGATATATCAACCTAACCTTGTCGAGATGAGTTACCTCTCGATCGAACTCATACATCCTTGATCATGAAGGATGTATGAGTTCAGCCATTCGTGCAGCCACCACGCACTGCGTTTGACAGACCGGTTGGATCACGCGTGGCTGTCTGTTAAAATGCGTACACACATAAGAGGGCCAAGACGGTCTATTAGGGCACTTGGGGTTATTTTAGGACTGGGGAGTTTGTCTTTTGCGGAACAAACGGCAAAGGCAAAGGCAATCGAATAAAGTTGACCACGCAGAATGCGGTTTTGTAATTGTCATTTTTGAAAAACACAC